GAGCGCCCAAAAGAAATACATAATACATATATAAAATACAAATGAAAATAATAATTATATTAGAACAATAAATATAACCTGACACCATCACTGCGGTAGCAATAGGTTATATTCTTCGCTAGAACGGCGACAGCGGTCTCACGACGAAGTAGTAATAATATTAGTTCGAAACAACTGGAAGTTACTAAAGTAACCGAGTCGACCGGTTGTATATATATTGTATATTAAATGTGTTTCTGAACCAGTCGCTTTGATGGCAATTGGCAAGAAAGGCAGCTGGCGAGTATATGTGAGGCGCTGGCAAACGCGATACAACGACATGGATTATAATACAAAATAGAAATTATCGGTGCCAACAAAAGTCGACAACAAAAACACGTATCAATGGGGATGATATAACCATGCGACCGTGGCAAGTAAAAAACAATCACACCTTGTTCGTGATCGGGAAACACGGATAACAACAAAACAGTGGTGATGGAGACGAAGACCGCGGACGGTTAAAAAGCACTAAGAACTCAGAGTTTAGATTTAACACGCTTATGAGTTACGACAACCAGTCCCCGGCGGCGGAAATTCAAATTCGGGCAGTAGATCCCAAAAACTTAATTCACCAAAATTTAGTCTGCCTTGCCGAGGTTTGAGTTAAACTCAGTAAATACCTAGATAGTTCTATTTAGATGTGCATGCAAACCATGATCACAGCCCTACTAAAACTACTTGTAGATCTTGCCCAAAAAAAAAATTATTGAACTACAATGATGAGGTATAGGTATTTTTTAAATTTACAACATTTAACTGCTACATAATTAATCCTAATAATAAATTTAGCAAACAGGTAAGAAAATACAATCGTAACTTTTGTTATACATGCCAACTGGCAAAAAATAATAGAAAAATATATCAACTATTAACACCCAATGAATTTTACCAAATCAGACAATATGTATTCGTAAAGTGTGACCGATAAGTAATGAAACTGATTTTTTACTTACCAGAGTTTTTATTTTTTTTTTAAACATCAATGTTATCCTCTTCAAAGTATTTCCCTTAGGCAGCTACACACCGATAGGGACATTGTTCCAACTGTTGGTAGCAACGCTGGAAATCTTTAACCGGTATGGTCTTCAGCATGTCCGTTACACTTTTGGATGTTTTCATAAGTTCCGAAATAACGACCATTGAAGACATTTTTCAATTAAGAAAAAAGGGAAAAGTTATAGAGATTGAGGTCAGGTAAATAGGGGGCTGGTAAATCAAAGAAATTCCTTTTGAAGTCAAAAATTTGTTATGTAGAGGGCAGTATGACATAGGGTGTTGTCGTGATAGTTTTCGAAGTTGAAGGCCTTCCTGAACGGTGATCATCTTTAACGTGTTATCTACTTTCCAAAAATGATTTGTGCCAGCAAAAAACTTGAGTTCGGAACAAAAATGTTCTCCATACGCTTTTTTTAACTTTTCAAACGTTACACTTATCGATTCTTCAAGCTTAACACAAAGTTAAATAGCACAACGTTAATCCAAATTCCACAGTTCCGTTTTACGTAACGCACAACCAAAACACAACTTCACTAATAGCAGTCACAAAAATTACGTACCTAATTAAGTACAAACGAAAGTTGAAACTCGCACTAAGACTAAGGTATAAGAGGGTACTAATGCCTACACATGTCATGCTCAATCAAGGACAACAGTGCAGCGTTGCCAGATCACTTGCAGTATTGCCAGTCTCATTACTTTTTCTGCCAAACTGTATATTAATGAAATAAATAATGAACAAAGCACTAATTAAAAATATAACGAAGGGACAAAAAGCACTAACCCTCCCTAACGAAGCATAAACGATGGCCCTTGGTTTGGACCCAACATTTAAAAAGAGGGGTGCCAGGAACGTGAATATTTAAGACAACTAGGCGACATCTGCGGAAGTCTCTTCGAAGTATTTACGGGTAAGTACGACGATTGAGGAAATATTTAAATTATTTAAATTATTTTTGAATTAGTGTTATGATAAAGTTTTTGGGTCATCTGTTATTGTTTAAGTACCTAGTGTCCTAGCCATAGCCCATATAACATAACTGTATTCTCTGAACGTTTGAGCCAATAATTTTAAACTGGTTAATTATTGGTCGTTGAGGTTTTAAAGTTAAAATGGCAAAAGAAGTCCTTTATCAACAATATTAAAATAATATTAAGAACTAGTCTTTACCTACTTGGCCAGTTAATATATGGTCTTTTATCGTGTAAAGTTAGAGAGATATACCTATCACTCAAAAGTGCATGCATAATATTATAGTATTACACTTTACTCCGTATCACGAGAGAACGTAAGCAGCGGCCAAGGGAAACTCGTCTTTCGCTGTGCAATGCGCATTCTCATACAAAATTGTCGCCGTATGGTATAGGGGAATTGCATACGTTGTATGCCATTTAGATGCGCAAGCTGTGTACGTTTTCTCGTAGTACGAAGTATACACTTTTTAAGTAGGTACCTATATTATTATCATTACATGTTACAATTACCTATCTCAGTTCTTATAAGTATAAATTATTTAAGCATAAAACTAGGAATTTAATATCTAAGTATGTCTGAAAGACTGAAGTAGTGAAGTTATCTATCAATTTATATTTTTTAGTGATATTTTATAGGTACTTAAATAATATAGCAGTACCTATATCAATAATTTTTATCTAAAAAAAACTATCGGTACCTTTAAGATAGTACTTATACTAACTACTGAACAATGACATACTGTTCTAGAAAAAATCGAATACTTATAACATTTAATTAAAGTTAGGTACCTATCATGTCCAGTCGTTAAAAATTACATATTGGTATTTACTGTAATTCATTTTTCAAATAAGACAAAATCAATTAGGTCTAAAATTAGTGTTTTATAAAAATTCCCAGTTTTCCAACATTTTTTCAGTTTTTCCGGATTTATAAGAAAAGTATATTATTAAAAACAGTTTTTTTACCAAAAACTTCAAAGATGAATAATCCTAAGTTCTGTTATATATATTAGTTCCCATAAAAAAACAAAAATTAATAATAAAAAATAATATTTATGTAAATATCTATTTAGAGCATAGACTAATATCAGTAATTATATAGAAGTATCTAATAGAATATTTTATGATCATTGGTTATAAATGATACCATTGATCATAAATAGTTTTATAAAAAATTATAGTATTTGCTTTAAGTTAAAATCTAATAATAAATACCATATAATTACTTTAATTAAATATTTCCAACAGTGATGAAGTGTTTATTTATTTATACTTCTATAAGATTATCGAATATCTAAAATATTATAATTTTACTCAAAAACAATAATTTTCAAAGTTTTAGGTATTTTTCCAATATAACAAAGTTATTATATTTATTAAAAAAATAAATACTTAACATCTATCTTATATCTATAATTTAAATTACGTATATTAATTTTATTTAAGTACAAACATTTTGTGATTTGTTTAAAATATTCAGTTACTTATGTAAATTACCGTAAAAGAGGGATTTTGTTTTGTTTCAATGACATTTTAAAAATTTAGGAATATAACCAAGTTTTTGTCAAATCATTATTTGAATATTATTTAAGTTTGTGAAATTTCATTCAAGTGACATGAATATTGAACTATTGAATAAAATCCAAAATATTCACGTTTTACCAACTACCAAGTAGGTATTGAAATATATCTAACTAAATTATAAATTATAAACTTTAAACTTAATTTTAGAGCTTATAAGGTACCTACTGTGTAGATATTGTTTACTTACTTTATCACTGTAAATTAATTTATACCTTCTTGCTAACTTAATACTTGTATAAATATTAATGCAACTGTAAACTGAAGTCTGCCTATCACATTTGTCTATCACTTACCAACCAACTTATAATTTAGCATTTATGTAGATTGATTTTGATAGTATTATTTATATTTTATTATTCTATTCATCAATGTATCATTTATTTACATAACAAATAACAATAAGTATAATATTATTATGAATAATTTCTTTACTCATCAATTGTCACCAACAATAAAAAAAATAACCTTTTTAAAATTATCAATTCAAGTTAAAATTTTTAACAATTTATTACATGATATAATTTGTTAGTTTTTTACTACTTATTCGTTACTTATAACCAATACCAACCTTACAAGGAAATTTTTTTAAGTTTATAGGTGGTTAGATTGGTTCTTCTGAGAATATAGGTTTATATAATCATTGAGTCTAGCATAAGCTATTAATTAAAGTATTTTTTAGATATTAATTTTAGGCTCTGCTACTTATGATAATTAATAATACATTAAAATAGTTTAACAGATTTTGATGTTTAAGTTAATATAAATGGATTTTTTAGTTATTATTTCTTAACACAAAAACCTAATGCTTTTTGAATTGTACATTTACATATTGATTTAAATCTTCATTATAGCTGCTATACATAAAAATAAAAATCTTACATATTTTTCTAATAAAGAATACTGGAAATATTATTTCATCAATCTCTTTAAATAATAAAAAGCAAATAAAATATAAAAAAATAAATTATAATTTACTATGTTACAAGTAATGATACTTTATATACAACATATACATTGAAATAATACAACATATAGATACATCATTTTAAAATTGTTTCCATTCATTCTACAGTAAAACAAAATTACACTTTATAAATGATAAAAAGAATTCATTCGATTTCCTGACACAATTCGAGAAAATTATAATAAATTAATCTAAACCTAATTAATATTTAAATATTAACAATTAATATCAAAATTATGAATACTGACAAACCTTTTTACAGGTGGTATACAAAATATACTTTTAAACAATAATATTTGTTACCATCAATAAATTAGTAAGCAATGTTTTGTTTATCATACTATATACTTAATGATTTTAAATTTTGATGTAGAACTCATAGCACATTGCTTAATTTAAAATAATATATTTTAACATTACAAGGTAAGACATACGCATATTAAGACAATTATTATTTTTATTTCTTTTAATATACTATTGTTAAAAACAAATGTACTTGAATATTAAACATGTTTTTCTTAGTTTAACGACATGTTTACCCTGATCTGTTTAAATATATTTACATATATAACAAATATTGAAAAAAATGTCATGAATTATCATTAAGTGATCAACTTATTTAACTATCTAGTTTCATCAGAATCCTGATCTTTGTCATCTTGATAAAATTCATTTGGTGCATCAACTCTTCGATCAAGTTCAACTTGTGATTGTCTTACATCTGGATCAACTTCATCTAAAGCAATAGCATTAAATTCCTCTGTAGGAAGCGCATCACCAGGTACATTTTGAATTTGTACACTTGGCGAATGCTGTACCATTTTAAGGTTATCATAGGTATGTTTAACAATAAGTTCTAAGTATTGTTTACTGTTGGCATTTTCTTGTCGTGTAACAACTTCAGGATGTAATAAAAAATCTGGAGCGAAATAGTCACGATATTCATGTTCAGGAATTGTATTACTAATTTCTTCATCAATCAAAAGAGATGTTTCATAAGTCCAACACCGAGCAACATTTCTTAAAGTATACCTAAATTCAATAAAATACATTTTATTAAGATTATTATAGACATTATCTATAATATACATAATTTAAAAGATCATTATAATTTTAACATAACCATTCCTTGATGTTAAGAATAAAATAGTGAGGGGAGGTCAGTCATGCTACGCTAATTCCTAAGAATGATAAACTAATGTTGTATTTTTGTAATGGTGACAAACATATATAAATAAATTTAATGTTGGTGTGCATATTTAATTATTTTATAAATAAAAAAAAGACTATCTTGTAGTTAAAATTATTGGGCATTGGGTGTGACTGAAAATATTCTTTACTGTCATACACTAATAGTCAAAAAAATGTATTAAAACATTTATCTAATATCAACATTTTCATATCACTATATCAGAAATAAATAGTAAAATTGAATTTCTAAAAAATATATTTAAATATTTAAACTTTTAATCATAAAATTAAATAATACATTTATATTGTATCAGTAATCATAAACAAAAAAAAATTATAAAAGCTTTATAATAACATAACAGATATACAATTCCTACTATCAATAAGAAATTTCAAAATAGTTCTAGTAGTTGCATTCTAATAAGATAACGAGGAAAAGATTAAAACTATTATAATGCATTGTTACCTACAACTGTAATAGTTCTTGTTAACAAAACTTTTCACCAGCAATTTTATTACTTTAATTTATTTATATTATCATAATATTTTACATAAACAATACAATACCAACAAAAAATTTAAAAAAAAAAAGCCATATTTAATAAATCTCTATGACACCCTTATTTTACTACACACGAACCACCTCTGATGGAGTTTTTAAATACAAATGTGTATCCCTTTGGTTGGATAGTTTATATAATTTATACGTTCTTAAATGATACAACAATTTGTATTCTTTCAGTACCAGTAGCTTCTCTCAAAAACTATTATATTTTAAGTATAATATTTTTATCTTATTATCTTATTAAGAGACTAAGATTAATTAATATTTTAAACATATTTTTCTTTATTATTGTTTTAAAATAGATACTTACCCTCCACCACCAACTGTTAAAAGAGGTACATTCAAATCTTTGATAAATTTAACACATTCTCCGTGTCCTTTGGTACTTAGATTAAAACAACCTAAGCGATCACCATTTAATGAATCTGCACCACATTGAAGAACAATTGCTGTAGGTTGATAAAGATCCATCACATGTTGAATTACAGGTTTAAATACCTAAAATAATAAAGGTTATTCAATAAAAAATATAATTCATGTACATATATCCTATATATATACATAAAATTTTTATTTTTTCAAAGATATCATAAAAATAATTTTAAAGAGAAAATCTAGAAATTCAAGTAATATCCTGAAACCTTTAACAAACTTATATTTTTACTGCAATTAAAAAGTTTTGAATTACAAATATCCATGTCCTTTAAAACCAAATAGTTTGACATAGAATATGTATAATTTTAAAATGTATGCCTCATCATTTTATAATATCATGAAAATTAACTGAGACCCAAATATTTCTTTTAAGACTTCTAATGTTTTAATATATGCATCCAATTATTTTATGAGTACATAATATGTTATAATTTTGTTTTTTCCTCACATTATCAATTTAAATCATATCACTGAAAATATACAGCTAATAACTAAGCAATCAAAACTTGAAACACCAATAACAATAATAGTACAGGTATATCTAATTCTAATTGCAACTTTTTGTTTACCCTAAGGAAAAAACAACTATTGGTAAAAAAGGGGTATCATAATATCAACTAAACATTTTTACAAATAATTATTGTTATCTTCTTTTTATAATTTTAATATAAATATAGAAATAAATTTTCTGAAGACTACATAAGAATCATCTTCTAAGACAGTGAAAAAATTATATAAAAAAACTCAACAATATGATAATAGTTAACATTTGTAAAGTGTTTAATTTAGCATGTAAAATAATAGATATCATAATAAAATTATCCAATTACGCTAGGCCTATAATGTGCTATAATGTACATTATGTACAATTAATTATTAATATACTTAATGTTCTATAGAAAAAATCATAACTACAATAAATGCCTTAACTATATTTTGATAATTATAATTATTTTTAAATGAATATTGAACAGAATTAAGTACTGATTTATAAGAGTTATTTTAAAAACTTGTAATCAAATAGTTTTATAAATTTATTAATTATTTTTTAATCTTTTTACATACTTGTGAATAGCTAAAATCATCAATTCCTTCTTTTAAAGGGACATTTACAGAATAATATCTTCCAACATCTGCTCCAATCTCATACATATCTCCAGTGCCAGGAAAAAACCAGTTACCATACTTATGAAAGGATACCGTCATTACACGATCTGTTAAATAAAATGCTTCTTGGACACCATCACCATGATGTACGTCAATGTCGATATACAAAACTCTTGGATGATATTTTAACAGTTCCAAAATAGCAATTACAATATCATTTACATAACAAAAACCAGATGCTTCAAACTTTTTAGCATGATGAAGACCACCCGACCAGTTGATAGCAATATCACAACAGTTTTTGTTTAGTTTCATCGCTCCATCAAGTGAAGCACCCGTATACATGGAACAAAAATCATATAGACCTTCGAATACAGGACAGTCTTCACCCACATTAAAATGATTCAAGTATTTGCTGTATGTGGTCAGGTTCTGTGGCGTTACCCTTTGGAGGAACTCAATGTACTCATCATGATGGAACCGACACATATCGTGAGCACTAGCACGATACGGCCTATATATTTTCATTTTATTGTAAAGACCATAGTTCAATACCAAACTGTGTATGACCGACAAACGATGTGGCTTCATGGGATGCGCTGGTCCATAGTGAAAATTGCCTACGTCGGGGTTGTAAAAGTAAAATACACGCTTATTAGACATTTCGTGGCAGTATTAGAACATTCCGAAATTCGTAGATAACAAAGCGATTGACTTCAAAACGGTCATATTCGATCGCATTTCACTTGAATTTAAATTAAAGTAAAAAAAAATTATATTTAATCAAATAACACAAATTATTTTGTTTTAGTAAACACTTAAAAATCTAGCGGCAACAACAAATATATTTCACTGCAGTGTGCGGTCCCGCACTGACGAATTGTAGGTTCAGAAGTTAGTAACAAGTATCTGATATGGACAGATACTGTTTGCAATTGGTTCGTAAAATGTTAGTACCTCATCAAGCGTCCCAAATAGTTGGTGGATTACTTTTCAGTGTTCATTACCGCCAACTGGCGTCTAACAATTTAATATTAAATAGTAATCTAAAATGATGATATAATAAATTTTATTATATTATCATTTATTTAAGATACCGCTTATTCGTCATCACTAGAGCTAGAATTTTGATGACTTTAGCATTTTTTTTTCTTAAAGTGCTATACCTACAATTCTAACCAAAAATCAATTTGTTTCATTATATAGCAATTTAGAATGTGTAATTTTTATTTTGCAATTTTTTTTGCATTTTTGTATTAAATTCATTTTATTGCATTTTAAGGTCATTTTTTACAAATATTACGCAAATTTTGTATATTTAAACTCATTTTTAATTGTTTTAAGCTTATTTTTATAATTAATCCCAACTACCTATTCCAGTCCATATTGAAAAAATAATATAATTAATAATTATTGTCAACTCAAATTTTAAATATATTTTTTAATTCACTTTTTAAAACAAATTTTTACCTATTTTGTATGATATAAAAACGAATAAATAATAACTAATCAATAATAATAATTTTAAAATTACACTTTTTTCGCTCAACTGATGAATACATTTTTTGGTTATTTTTTAAGTTTAGATATTTATTAGAGTTTTTACGTCATTTTTGTATTTTTGTGTGTTTTTAGGTCATTAAAATCCTAGTTCTAGCCATCACAGTAAGGCTAAGGAACTAATAGGAGTCATATGTTTTTTAATAATCATTCAAATCATGGCTAAGTAATATAGAAATTTGTTTCTTGGTACTAGAAGTTTAAAGCAATCATTTTTATTTTGTATATTCTGTTCTCTTTTCATTTTGAGTATATTATTTTGTTATGTTTGTATTTTAAGTACATATTTCACATTAAAAAAAAAATTTTAAAACAATATGTGATGCAAAGAATAATATTGTATACGTATTATACAATATTTAACATTATTTTTTTAGAAATTGAAAAAAATTGATTAAAATAATTATATAATCTATCTACCGTGTGTTTTCCCGATTATTTGTACAGTATGAAAAACAGTAGTCAATAAGGAATACGCTGAATAGGGTCAGTTGGTGTCAATTCGTCTGTTAACATATATATTTTCGTCTAGCGTTAATATAGTCAGGTAGTATAATAATCTAGACTATGTATAGTTTTTTTGTAAAAATTAAATTAAAAATTCCTTATTTAATAATAAATAAATTTATAATTATTGTTTTTAAATAAATATATATATATATATATATATATTTATTTATTTATTTATAAAAAGCGTATTTTAGCATTTTTGTATATTTATAGAGCATATATAATAATTTTTAAAGATATTAATGCATGTATATTTTAAGATTTTTTAAAGCATGAAATTTCTAATTCTAGTTATCAGCTTCTAGACATTGCCGTTTCAAATTTTCAATCATCCTTGGGTTAGTAGAAGTTTTATTAGAACAGGCTCTTACGTTAGTACATCAATTAGGTAATTAATAATAGTAATATTATTAACTTAAATTAAATAGGTATCTACTTATAAAATTTTAATTTGTAAAATAATAGAAAATAATTATAAAAAAGTATTTGTAATAAATAATATTGTTAATTATTACAAAATTATAATTTATTAAGTAAAAAGTTCGTAACTAATTTTCCAAAAGTTGAATTTTAGTACATAAATAGTTTATGCCACACTAATAAATGTATTAAAAGTCTTGACACTCCTTATGTGTATAGCTTCCATTCCTCTTAAAAGAGGTGCACAATTCTTTCACTGGTTTCGCTTAAAACTCATCAGCTGTTTAAGTTATCATAATAATACATTATTTCATGTATTATAAATGTGTACAGTTATATATAATGTAAATGACTGAATTACCTACCTATGAAACAAATTTTCACAAATTATAAAATTAATACACATCTAAATTGTTTTTTGTTATTTATACATATTTGATATTATTAAATTAAATTTTCAATAGTTTTTTTCAGCGATGAACTATAGATTCTGTATCAAAAATAATTTATATAATTAATATTATGATTTTTTTTTTTGAGGATCTAAAATCCAACATCACCATTTAATAACATATGTATAATCATGCCTATATATTTAATGTGTATAAATAACAGAAAAAAATATATATATATTATGTATACATTTTTAATTTTTCGTATTTATTTTATAATTAATTATTACTGATTTATTTCATAATTTAATCATATATTATGGTTCTTTTATAGACTTTAATTTTGATTATAACTTTAACTGTTGACGAGTTAAAAACAAAATCGGTGAAAAGATCACGCGCTCATTTTAAAAGGAGTAGAAATCTACGTACAAAGAAATAGGTATCAATGTACCTACTATATAGTTTATTTATTAGTAGAGCTCCTTATTTTACGTGTACACGCTTTAACATATTCACGTGAAATTAATATTCGTTTTTTTAATACTCCGGTTTTGAAAAATCCACGTATAACGTACATTAACGTATTTTCATTAAATTCATAATACTGTTAAACATTTAAATTTAACACTCTAAATTAATTTAAATGATAAAAAGTTTACATAAAATTTAATTTATCTAAGTATTTGCTGCTTTTATAACGGCGAATTTCAAATAAACTAAAAATAGAAACAATATAGCTTAGTTAATTAAATTAAATATGTAAATAATGAAATAATGAATAAAAAATTCTTTATTGTTACAAAATAATTACGAGTAGATTTATCACAGGATTAAAGGATAATTATAATAGTATCGCAATAGATATAAATTCTTAAATTAATTAATTATTGATATTCCAAAAAAAAAATATTTTTTTAATAATGGCGTAAATTGAATAAATACACAAAACAAATTATTTATGAATGAATAAGTATAAAACTAATACAATAATATTACTCATCTGCGGTTAAATGGGCGAATGGTATTATGATCAAACGTTTATAAATAATAATAAATCAGTGATAGCTACTCGTCTTATTTTATATAAAAAGATATACCTAATATAATAATATATAAGAGTAAAAAATAATCAGTTAATCAGTCTATCTACTCGAAACTGTCAGTATGTTAAGCCATGACCCATTTATATTTAAATAAATATCCATGAATACGTGAAAATACTAAAATACGTAAACACGTATATTAAATTCACGTTTATTAAGTATACGTAAATACAAACTTTTCATTCACGTGTTCGCGGACTCCGTATAAATCACGTTTTCAATCGAGACATCTATTTATTAATAAAGTATATAAACTTCTAATGCACCAAAATTCAGCTTTTGAAGAATTAATTCAGAATTTTATAATTTTTTTGTCAAATTTGACTTGACTTCATAGTTACTGGACAAAAGGGCAAATTTTAATTACTATTTAAATTATATTAAATAATATTTTATAAATTCAAATAAATCTTTTAAAATAATTCTATTTAGTATAAATTATTTAAAAAACACTACATAATACTTTTTTACTTAGTATTAGACGTATTAGTGCAATAAATAAACAAATTATAATAAAAGCATAATAATATTATGTGCTATTAAATAATAATTTACGTCTATAAATCGATAAATTTCATTTTGTTATTGATAACCACTTTTATAGATATCTTACTATATTTTTAAAATTATTTATTTAAATTGGTCCACTCTTCCCTACACTTATACCAAAAACTAGCTTTTAGAATGATTTATTTTAATGTTACGGGCAAAGTAAACTATTGAGCTACCCGTATGTCTTACATTGCCCGGTGTTTTTGGGTATATATATTAAAAATATTATTTTTACCTTGCAGAGTTGTACTTTAATCGGTGACCGGTCCAAGTTACTTTTCCCATACTAAATTGGGCATTGTAACTTAAGCTATAAACAAAACTTTTCTTTTGAATACATTTTTTTTTTTAAATGTGTTAAACAATTAAGAAAGAGTAGATATAGTGAAGATATACTATGTTACAGTCAATTTAGTACGTATTATATTTTTAGAGTTTTATAGGTACGTACTTTTATAATTTTATTTTATAAAGTAATTAGTATGAGAGTATAGAAGCAATTTTTGGATGTAGTACAAAAATTGGATTAAACGATGATTTTGCATCAAGATTGTACATCCAAGATCAATAATTATTAATAAATAAAAAAATGAAGAAGATTTAGAAGCGGTTATAACATCTATGAATACTGGAAATCATTGAGAAATCGATGAAACATTGATCGAAGAAAAAATAGATAATATAATAAATAAAATAACTTCTGTGAGAACAGAGTCATCTGTAAATTTAATAATTCAAGGGAATTGATTTACATTGTCCAACTTAGACTAGGCAATTCTATACAGCCCGGGTAAAGTATAATTTTGCCTACATTGCCCATCATAATCGGGCATTATCATAATTCCCGGGCAATGTAAACATTACCCGATAGTCTACTTTGCTTGTAATATATATATATATACATATACATATATCAATATGTTATCTAAATTATGATTATTCAGTGTATTATAAATTATGTTTACATACTATAATATCATATATTAATTATTAAATATGATTTACGTTTTTCACAACGCCGAGCGGTTAGCCTTGATATGTTCTGTCTACTAATGTATTA